CTTTTCCTCCTTAAATACATTTTTCACAGACACATCTTCACTAAGCACTGAAAGCCTTCAGTGGCTAACAAAACCAGGTAAAAATCTCAGAGCTACAGACCCAGACACTGTTCAGATTGACTTTGGGCAATGGGAATTTGCAGAATTAAATATTGTTTCAAATACTCTGTAATCATTGGGTCATATCTTTCCAGCAAGTTTGTGGTGGTCGTGTTTTTAAGTTGTACTCATTGTGAAAAAGTGCCCGTTACCAATTTCTCTGCTTCATCACCTTCACACAGGTTAGGGTAATCTTGTTCAGAGTCTGAAAGTGTCTGTTATATTTGAATTTCCTCTTAGTAAAAAGAATAAGCATAATGTGACAGAAAAAGACAAATTGTGGTAGAAAAAGTTACCAAATGTTCGTAAAATAAGAAAAGATTGTCAATGTGGTGCATTTACTTAAGAGAATAAGAGATTTGAAAGTGTACTAGAACTTAACATGTAGCAACCAAAAGTTAATCTTCTGTATACAATGAACATTTGTCAAATTCTTACTATAATACTCTCTTCAGTTCTGAACTTGGCAATTTAAATAAGCTGTGGAAACAGCTGGCAAGGTTCCTGAGAGGAGCAGGGAAAACTATTAAGAGAATAAAAATAAGACCTTTGCAATAAGGTTAAAAGAATTAAAGTTTCCTAGGGAAGGAGGGGGAGAATTTAAATCATATGAAAAATGGGTAGAAGTAATTCTATTTCACTTGACCAGGTGGTACAAAAGAAATGTTTTACATTTTGTTGGAGGACTTCATTGACATAGACCTTTTCCCTCCTTTCCAAGATAATTGAGCCCCTCCTGTATTCATTCACTCCCTTCTTCTTGTGGCCTGACATTGGGCTTTTCTGGATGATCTTTCTTTGGCTCTCTGCTTTTTATCCTTCCTTTCCTCTCCTCACTCCCACCTTGCTGAAATCACATGGATTTTGCTTCTGTCTTTTTTATCTCAAGTCTATTTTTTATAGGCAGCCACCAACCAGTCAGATCTACCCAAAGGAAAATCTCTATCTGATTTTCTGCTAGTTTTTTATCAGTCCCTTTTGACCCATAGGGGAGAGGATGGTTGTGGCAACCCACTGTGAAGGACTGTGACTAACTTGAATATACAAGTTACCCACTCAGTGTGTCGGAAGGAAGGTGGAGAGTCAGGCTTAGGAGACGAGTTCAGGCTTCTTAGCTGGACGTGGAAGACGCTCCACGCTCCTTCCTTGTCTACTTCTCCAGTTCTCAGAGCCCCAGGTCGCTGCCTTTCCCCTCCCCACCTTGTTGATCCTGCCCTAGACTCTGCATTTTGCTTCTGTTGCGTCTTCCTTTACCCATGACATAAAGTTCTCAGGATTTATTTCATCATAAATAGCTGGCAGGCAACATGAACCTTTTCAGTTAGGAAAGTTGCTGAGATTGTTTCTAAGGATTGTTTTACTTAGATTTTTAGAACATTAGGAGACTCAATTTTCTGAGTTTTGTCCCAACCATTATTTGCCATTCTACTTTGGAGTTTGTGTAGACTGGGTATTGAGATAAAAATAAAGATCAAGCAAAGTAGATGCTTAGTGAATACTAGTGGAAAAAATAATCCAGTAAGAACTGTAATTTCTCTTTGCAGAATGGTAGAACTTGAGAGTCAGACAGGACCTTTGAAATCATCTCCTGCAGTCTCTCCTTACACAGAGGAGATACAGACCCATGAGGTGAGCCCAGCGTGTAGCAGACAGCTGTCCACAACACACAGCTTTTTGTGTGTCTGTCTGGTGCCCACACCCCTGGCTCCATCCTCCTTGGACTACAGTAGTTGTCAAACTTTTTTTTTTTTAAAAAGGAGGTCTCCTTCACTCCTGTAAGTGTATAAATGTATCTTTTTGTGTGAGAGATTTAAAATTTACATAAAAATTTAAGAGTAAGCCATTTCTTCAGCTAACTATTTGGAAGTATGTGTACATATTTTTTAAAATTGCTAAGTAAGGTGATTAGATTATTAGTAGAGGAGCTGGTTGGCTTCTAACTAGTAATATGGTTTTAGTTTATTTCTTGAAGTTTCATGCCTTTCACATTTAAAAATAAAATGAAATTACCCCTTTCTTATCACTACCAAATAATTAAAATAATCATTGCCAACACTTAACATAGTTCCTGTTACCTACCATTTGCGCCTATACGTAACTATATTGCATGTGTTGAATACGCTCCTAGTTTGCATAACTACCATGTGAGATTGGTGTAGTTATTATCCTTGTTTTACAGAGGAGGAAACACGGATGGAGGGTAAAGTAGTTCAATACCACACAGTAAAAAGTAGACCTGAGAATGAAGAGTTTACCTTATTAACACCTGTACTTCAGTAGGGAGCTCCAGTGGCCTAAGAGGCGCTGTGCTGCAATCCTGAAGGCACAGAGTTCAAATCCATTGGTTGATCCATTGGAGAAAGATGGACAGTCTCCTCCTGTGCTCTTTTCTGCCTCTGAAAACCTCCCAGAGGGTCAGCTGTGGGTCGGCTCTGACTTGAAGGCACATAGCAACAAAAACAAATTTCAGTAGGGGATCTCTTACTACTGTAACTTTATGACTGCTTTAAATTGACCCTGTTTTCTTTCTTTTCTTTTCTTTTAACATTCTTTTTAGATTTTATTATTATTTTTTATACTAATTTATCTGTTTTCTTTCTTAATGCTTCATTAGGTAATAAAATAAAAGTAACAAATATTTATTTATTTTTTTATTTTATTAAATTTTATTAGTTTTAATGAACATTTACAGGGATTTTGGGTTTTAATTGTCCAATTGCCACAGTGCCTGTCAAAGTCAGCTCCGATTAATCTCCCTTGTCGGCGTGTCCCTTGCCATTCTCTATCACTCCTCCCTGAGAGAGACTTCACCCTGATTCATAAGGAAAAGGGGACAGCGTATTCTCTTAGCTACTTCCTGCTGAAAAGGGACGCTGTGGGTTTCAGGGTGAAGATCTTCTCTCACTACTCTAAAGGGCCCCTTTGGCAGTAGGAAACACATAGACTATTATGGAGATTGATTTTGGAATTTAGATGCACTGTTATTAATTGTGCTTAGCCGTACATGTTCATATCCCTGAAGATGTATCATGGGAGGGTTGCAACCTAGAAGACACAAGTTATCTAACAAGTTATAGGTACATGAGTCAAAAATTATGGAAAAGTAGAAGAAAAGATTCTTTCATTGTTTTACAAACCCTCCCCCAGGTCCCCTCCACCGTGTAGCCCTTGCTCTAGACTCCTGTGATGACAGAAATACCTAGTCACATATCTCTTTTACACAGTTTTCTCCCTCCTCTGTTTCAGTGCAGTATACATTATTGAACCCATCTTACTCAGTCTCTCCCCAACCCTGAGGTTAGTCCCATTCTACAACAGTGGCATCATGTAATATTTGTCCTTTTGTGACTGGGATATTTCACTCAGCATAATGTTCTCCAGAGTCAACCATTTAAAAGTAACAAATATTTAGATTGAGGTAGAAAAACACTGTCATTAAAATGATCTATTCAGTGGGAAATTAATGTTCCCAGTGATTAATAGTAGTTATGTGTTTTTTATTGTGTTGTCAAAAAGAATTTTAAATCAAACTGAAACCACTGCCACCAGGACTTTAAAGTTAAACAGTTTTTAAGAAATTATTAGTGGGTTGTTAGACCAATGATGATTGGTCTTATAAAACACAATGTATGGGAATGATATGAAACATAGTGTGAATTAAGAAATGTGTGAAATATATGTGTATATGAGTGAAACATAATAGAAATTAATTTTGTATGCAAACCAATACAAAGTTTAGAAAAATGCTTTAAAAATCATTGTTGTTATATAAAGTGCTTAACCACTCTATAAAGGCTCATTAGTTTCATCAGCACCATTTTTTACCCTTTGGATAAACTACAATAGAGAGCAGTTCTTATAAATGTATTCAATAAGTTAAAAAATTGTGAAAAGTAGAATTTAATCCAGTTAATTCACGGCTGCAGCAGTCTGTGTGGTCAGATTTTTTCTGGAACATTAATCTGTGTTCTGAACATTATATTTTAAGGTAAGCCCAGCTAGACTGAGAAGAGAGATTTAGAACTGTGTTATGTAAGGAAAACTTAGAGGTAGTGTGGATGCTCTGAGCCTCGAGGGGAAGAACAGCCAACCTCAAGGACATGAAGTTTATTATTTAGAAACAGTTTTCTTTTATTGAATAGAGTCAGATCAGTAGGCAGAGTCACACAGGCTTAGCTCAGTAAGAGCCAAATGTGAGATGAAATTGGCTGTGTGGGGTAGGTTTCTGTGTCGGGGCACTTTCAGGCAAAGGCTGGGTCGCCCTTTGGAAGGGGCTGTTGCAGAGCAGCATCCTGGCAGCTGCCGTTTGATTGGACTCTGACTTCGGAGACGACGTTTCACAGTGCCTGGCACATAATAGGCACTCACTAAATAACTATTGAATTGATGACTTAATGATTTAAAACCTGTATAACTTTAAGTGACATTTTTTATACTGCCTACATGATAAAGAGAGTCCCAGGGAAGAATGTTTAGTGTTATTTAGAGGTAGATCTGGTTGCTTCCTAGTTTTTAGGTATCATAAGTTTCATAAATTGCACTGGGTTCTCTGGGGAAAGGTAAATAACTTGCGCAGCTATAACATAAATTATTACTATTTAAGCTTAAGCATTTGTATATGCTTTCATGTCTCATCTTAGACATTTATAAGCCCTTTGATAGGTTAACTGTGCAGTCTTGTTTTGCTTCACAGCACCAAGCCAGAGTCTTTCTGAAATAATACGTACTTTATGGTTGTGGATGAAGGCTCATTCTTGATTCTCACTGTTATTTAGAGATACATTACTATCATTTGTGTATTTCTAAAGCTGGTTCTAAAATTCAGAAATGACGAACTTTAGTAAACCACATTTATATGGTACTTAATGCAGCGGGGACTGTGTTCATTTTTACTCTTGTAGGGGCATGTGAGGGAACCTTGGCTTGCTCCACCTGTCACCTCGTCTTTGAAGATCACATATATGAGAAGTTAGATGCCATCACTGATGAAGAGAATGACATGCTTGATCTAGCATATGGACTAACAGGCAGGTAAGATTTTAGGACCTGCTCCAGGAGTACTAAAACCTGGGCAGGTACAAGTTTTATTACTTTGTTTCTATCTTACCGCTCAGGTGGCCTGGTGGGTAAGGAGATGCACTGCCAACCCCAAGGCAGGTGATTCTAATTCACCAACTGCTCTGGAGGATAAAATCAGCAGTCTCCTCTCGTGTGATTTATAGCCTTTGAAAACCCACTAGTGGGTCAGCTATGAGTCCGTTTCAACTTGACAGGAGTGATTGAGTTTCTAAGACTAGAGTCATGATTGTAGTAATGTTTGCCTAGCTTAGGTAACAGTCCATATTTTAGATATTAGTATGTGGCATTTGTCTTTATTTTCTTACTTGCCTTACTTTACTTTTACTATTCTATAGTGAACTTCTGGGAAGCTTTATAAAAGTGGAAAAATTTAATTCTAAGTTTTAGATCCTAAGGAATCTTTGCCTATTTTTAGTCTAGGGATTAATGTTTACCACAGTTCAACTCAGGTTGGGATTAAAGCATGTGGGTATTTTGTGGGTTTTGTTTTTTTTTCCATGGTCTTGAAGGACAGATTTCATAACTGAATAGAATTAGAGTGGAAAGTTTTACCTCCTCGAGAGTACAGGATTCTTAAAATATATATATATATACTAGTAAATAAGTTAAAATGAATCACTCTCTTTATACATTTCCATTCAAGTTCAGAACTTATTATTAAAAATATTGTTAAAATGAAGAAAGAAAGTATGTAAAACAAACAAAACTAATATTATACTTATTGATAAGATTTACAATAGCAAGTGACATTAAGGGATGCTATATTTATTAGTAATTTCATGTTTTGCTTGAAGTCAATGGAAGTAACTAGTTAAATTACTGTTTTCAAGGTTAGGATAATGAATTTTTTGAAAGGAAAAAGTAGTAATAATCTGACTTGCCCATTGCTGTCAAGTTGGAATCAACTCATAGCCGATCATCCAGCAGATTTTCAGAGGCTCTGAATTGCACAGGAGGAGATCACTCGTCTTTCTCCTGAGGAGCAGCTGATGGCTTCGAACCACTAGAAAAGTACCGCACTTTGGGTTAGCAGCACCACTCCCTCTGTAGCACCAGAGCTCCCTAGTAATAATAATAACCTTGTTTTTTTCCCTGTATACTATGTAAACCAAGATTTTAACAAAAACTATCTCATCCAGTCATCACAAAAATGTTGAAGTACTTAGTATTTATATTGTTATTGTTCTGTGCGTCAAGTTGCTTGTGACTCATAGTGAACCTGTGTACAACAGCCCTAAACCCTCCTCTATCCTGTGCCAACCTCAACACATCTACCTCCATTACCGCAATCACTGACTCAATCCATCTGATAGAGGATCTTCTTCTCTTGCTCTGTCCCTCCACCCTCCCAAACATGATGTCCCTCTCCAAGGACTGGTCCCTCCTTGCATTATGCTCAGAGTATGTCAGATGAAGCTTCAGAATCTTTGTTTCCAAGAAGCAGCTCAGTTTCACCATCTCTAGGACTGACCTGTTTGTTCTTCTAGCAGTCCATGGTATATTCAACACTATTCTCCAGCACCACAGCTCAAAGGCATCAGTTCTCTTTCTGTTATCCCTAGTCACTGTCTGGCTCTCTGATTCATAGCACACAATTGTGAAGATTATGGCCTGGATCAGGCACACTTTAGTCTCCAGCCCTGACGTAATTTTTCTTCAGTACTCTGAAGAGGTCCCTGACAGCTGACTTTCCAATGCAATTCATCTCTTTATTTCCTGGCTGCTAGTATCAAGAATGTTGATTGTGGAACCAAGCAAACTAAAACTTTTAGCAATCTCAATCTTCTCACCATCCATAATGATGCTGCCAATTGGCCCAGTGGTGAGAATCTTTGTTTTCTTGATGTTGAGCTTCAATCCATATTGAAGGCTGCAGTCTTTGAACTTCTGCAGCAAGCACTTCAGGTCCTCAAGCAAGCAGGGTTGTGTCATCTGCATAATGCATGTTGTTGATGAATCTTCCTCCAATCCTGATGCCACATTCCTCCTTGTACAGCCCAGCATCCCAGATGATCTGTTATGGTGACAGAATACATCCCTGGAGGGCACCCTTCCTGACTAGAGACAAAAAAAAAACCCAAACCCCCAAAAAAGTCATTCTCTTTGTGTAGTTCCTTTTCCTGTTGGTGCAGAGATGAGACTGACATTCTGGAAAGAGAAACTCGGAGAAGTAGTTTCTTTTTAGACTCCAGAACAAAGTCAGTTAGGATACTGCCTACCTGTTGTATCAGTGCTCAGCATTTCCTGTGGTTAAGTTTGCCTCCTTATTCCAGAACTTCCCAGTGATCCCACATTAGTCACCAATTAAAATTTCTACTCTTTATTTGATGTTCAAAGTTGTTTGTATACCTGCCCACTATTCGACTCAGGCCTATCCTTTTCCTTTCCCTGTATTGTGCATTATCCAAGAGACCTTGAACTTTCTTGGATATGTTGCTTTTGTCTCAAATACCTTTATTCTTTAATCTTAAATATCAAATCCTGTGCATTCTTCAAAACCTGTTCTAAACACCATCTCCCTCAGCAAAAACTAAGTGCATAATGCACAACAACCCTGTAGGGCTGCTAACCTAAAGGGTGGTGGTTCAAGTTTACTGTCTGCTCCTCAGGAGAAAGAGGGACAGTCTCTTCACATTAGGATTTATTGCCTCAGAAACATGGAAAGGTGGTTAGGAGGCAGAACCAGATTGATGGCAGTGGTTTTTCTACTTTTCCAAGCATGCTACCCTTTGCCAAGGACTAGCTCCTCCTGATAACATGCCTGAAATATGTGAGGCAGCGCCTTGCAATGGGTGTTTGCAGCTGTTCCTCCTCACTGAGCCTTCTTTGATTGAAAGCTTTACCCCATCTGCCATCATTAAGATAGACTCCCCATGGAAGAAGCAGCATTTTTCTACTTGTGCCTTCCAGCCGGAGGGTCCCATCTTCTGGTACTTTATCAAGGTTTTGCTGCTGCTCATAGTGTTTTTAAGAGCTTCTAATTTTTAAAGTGGGTAGCCAGGCCTGCTTCCTAATCAGTCTTTAAGTCTGGAAACTCCACTAACACCTGTGCACTGTGGTTGACCTGTCTGATATGTGACACACTGTTAGCACAGCTTCCATCATCACAGCCACACGGAAGTCCCCCGTACAGCAAACTGACAGACTAGTAGTGGATGTAGTTGATAAAGTTCAGTAGATCTGCTATGAATTAAAATTTAAAAGGTAAATAAACCCCCTACTGCTTTTGGTAAGAAATTATAAAAAATGCCCTAAAGAGCTGCATTGCCTTGTGAATGAGTAATGTGTATTTCATACTTTTCTCCTTTTTATCCAGATCACGGTTGGGCTGCCAAATCTGTTTGACAAAGTCCATGGATAATATGACTGTTCGCGTCCCTGAAGCAGTGACTGATATTAGACAACCCCTCGATATGAGCGAGAAATCCTAAAATAGAACCAATAGGAATATTTTCATGAAACCTTACCTATTTTTATAATTATTTCTTAATGTAATGAGACATGGATGAATGAATTTATTATTATAACCAGCCTTTCTATCTTCATTCTTAGTTCTGAAAGTATATAATCTTTATTTTGGTTAAATGATAAAAATGTCAACCAAATATTAGAAAGCATCTTATGACTGTTTAGCAACTTGAGCAAAATGTTTTTATATACATCTTATGGATATGTACCTATAATGTAGAACTTAAGAAAGAGGAGTGGTTTCCTTGCTCCTGCTTACTCAGGATGAAGGCCGAGATCTGAATGATTCTGTCTCAGGCCATATAAGTCATTAAAAAAATCTGGTACCAGAACCCTCATCTTGTTATTACAAGTTATGTGTTCAGATAAATGGAGTGAGGGTGGGGATATGACAGCTTTATTTATAAAACACATGAAGTTTGATTATGTACAGGCAAAAAACCCATTTCATTGCTTGGTGAACTACTTAGTTTTAAAATCAGTAACTCCATAAAGAAATATTTTAACTATTTTGTTCATTAAAAAGTACAGGGATGTAAATGAAGTTTGATCTCTGCTCTGACCAACTGGAGTAATAAACTGAAAACCCTGTGTCTTCCCTTCTTTTCTTTTCTAAGCAAAATTAACTTTATAATCTTTTAAAAATAATCCTGACTTAAAAATTTCTCCCTGCAGCATAGTTAGAAATGTTTGAACCAGTTAAATTCTCTCTGTTCAGAGCAGGTAGCCTAATGCTTAAAGTGTGATGGCTGCCAACCGGAAGGCAGTTAGCTCAAATCCAGCAGCTGTTCTGTTGGAGAAAGATGAACAGTCTCCTCCTGAGGGATTTACAGCTTCTAAAATCCTGCTGGAGGGTCAGTTATGAGTTAGGTCCAACTCAGGGACACGTAACTATTGAGAGGCTGAAAAAATGAGCCTGCCACCATGCACAGCCCCAGGGGGCGCCATTCTCTTAAACACAGGGCAGTTGTCTTGCAATTTGCTTCAGGGCCCAGGAATTTGGGAATGGTTTTGAGTGCCTCAGAATACCACTTCATTTATAGAAAAAGTTTATATTTTTATCTATAATTAATAGAAGATTGAAAAGATGCACACAGTCTGTTTCTTGGAAGTGTGGTTAAATGTGAGCTTGATTATGAGGAAAATCAGAATAATATAGTAAAAACTATTCAAAACAGTTGAGTTGTTCTTTGAGCACATTATGTATTTTGTTTATTTTTACAAATTTGCAAGTTGTTGTTCCTCATGTAAGATACTGTGTTATATTCATTGTGGTGGCTGTTAGGTGCTGTTGAGTCATTTAAGACTCCTAGCAGCCCTATGAACAACAGATCTTTCTGAACAATAGATCAGACCCTGGCCTCATCCTATGCCATATCAAGATGAACAGGACAAGGAAGGCGTGCTCCCAGGGAGAAGATAGTAGGAAATACCACCTTTAATTTGGAAAAGATAAAGCATGCATACAAATAATTCTGTTGCTGAACTCATTTGCCAAATGAAATCTTAATAAATTTTTATATTTTTCATTGTTGAGAATACACACAGCTGAATATATATATATACCAATTCAGCAGTTTCTGTATATAATAACAAGGTTAATTAGTAAAAAGTGACTAGGAAGAATCTGAGGCTTCTGATACTCTTGTGGTACTTAGTAACTGTTGGGTGCCTTCCTGTATAGAGTGCTATACTCTACCAGTTTTTCCACATCATTTGTTCTCGTCCTTAGCTTCAGTACTTTCTTTGTATTCTTTTCTCAGTTACCTAAGCTGTCATTTCCAGATACTTTCATAATGGCATTCAACTAATCACTAAAATGTAGTCTGAATTGTTTCAGATTTCAAATTAGCAGAGTTCAATTAATGAAGTTTAATTGTGGTACTTAAATAAAATATCTTAAACTTCAAGTGGTGGTGTACTCTGTAATTGATTTATATAAAGTTCCTATGTTTAGTTTGAAAAAGTCATTTTTTACGCATAAGCATTCTAGATAACAGTATTTGGTTTGTCTGCCACTAGTGAAAAAAAATTCCTTAAAATTAGTGGATTAAAACAACAATAATCCTTTCTTATCTTGGACAGTTTCTGTGGGTCAGGAATTCAGCGAGGCATGGCCTGGTGGTTGGTTTCTACTCTGTGTTGTTGGTACTGGATCTTCTGAAGGCCATTCTCATGTCCGATAGTTGATGCTGATATTGGCTGAAGTCTTGTAGGGACCACACATAACCTCACCATGTGACCCACACCTTCTCAAAACATGGGGCCCAGATCCCAAAGGCAAGCCCTCAGAGAAGACATCAGGTAGAAGCTGTGTGTCTTCTATGACTGAGTCCCAGAACTCACTCAGCATCCCTTACAAGCTGGCCACAAAGTCTAGCATGCCATTTGCAGAGCACATTGTCACAGAATTTGCAGGCCTTTTTTTTTCCAAAGCTGCCACAGTAATCATTCCTTTCAACATAACTTAAAACCTACTGTCATCAAGTCAATTCAGACTTAACAGCAACCCAGTCGGACTAAGGAGAACTGGCCTACGGGCTTCCCAAGGCTTTGTGGAAGCAGATGGCCATGTCTGTCTGCCACACAGAGTGGCTGGTGAGTTCACACTACTGACCTTTTGGTTTCCAACCTTTTGCTTAACTACTGAGTTACCAGGACTCCTTCCAGGATAACCTCCTGGTCCTTCTTTCTTGTGAAAATTCGCTTTTTGACTCTGTTCTGAATTTTTTGAGGGCAGTTAATTTGTTTTGGCTTTTAATTCTAAATCAAATCTATCTCTTAATAATGATGCCTCAATTTTTTTGTTGTATAAATCCTAACATTTTTCTTCTTGACAGTTGTGAAAAATGAAAGGGAAAAATGGTGGGCTCCCTCTCAATGCTATGTAATTTTAGTTTCTATTCCTTAGTCATTTTGTCATCAAGAAAGACATTTTTTTTAATAGTACTCTAATTATTGGTTACCTGCTGAAATTTAATACTGAATTTGGTTTTTACAAACAGAAGCAACCTGTAATTACTTATGTACTTCAGAACTGTTGTTTGGTTTTTTTTTAAGTAAACCATCTTATGAATAATTTCCATAACATTGTGCCTAACACACTGTGAAGGTTTTATCTTAAAAGCTGGTTTTCCTATTTTTCTTGGTGACTGGTTATTGTATAGCAATCCATTTGGTCTCTGTCGTGGCCATTCAGTACCTATTAGAAAATTACGTTTCATTTGAAAATTGTTTTCTAAGGGCTACCAACCCAAAGGCACATGGTTCGAATCTCCTACCTGGTCTTTAAGAGAGAGAAAAGAGGAGTAATCCCTTCCTGTATGATTTATTGCCTCTGAAAACTCACTGTAGGGTCAGCTCTCGGTCTGTTCATAGATAACCACAAGGGAGACTTTGATTCATTGTATGTTTTCCCATCTCTTCCTTTGAAGTTTTTGTGTGGACATTTAATTTCATGTAGTTTTTGTTTCTGCTGTTTTGTTTATTTTTCCAGTTGTGCCTTGGGTACATTGACTTCCCTATTCAACAACACATTGTGTTTCCTTCTATTAGTTAAAATCCTCTCAATGTTTGACACTCTTCCCACTTCTCTCTTTGGTCCCCTACTCTACTTTGCCCTTTCCTGACATTGTCTATACTCTGAACTGTTTTTGAAAAAATGCTGTTCTTTTGGTCCTGGTTCAAATCCATCAGCAGCATCTCAGGAGAAAGACAAGCAGTCTCCTCCTGTGCCACTTACAGCCTTTGAAAACCTGCTGGATGGTCAGCAGTGAGTATTTATGTTTGATCCTGTTGAATTGATTATTCTAAGGAGTACGTTTCTCACAGGGGTTATTCTTCACTATGTTGTTGTTATGTGCCATCGAGTCACCGACTCAGTGACCCTATGTACACTGGCCTGTCATGAGCCAATCTTACTGTCTTCAACAGACCTAATCACATTTCTCCAGCCACTGAGTCAACCCATCTCATTCTGGGTCTTCCTGTCCTGTGCTGGCTCTCTACTCTTTTAAGCATGATGTCCTTCTCCAAGGGCTGGTCCCTCCTGGCCATGTGCCTAAAATATGTGAAAGAGAACTTCAAAATACTTGCCTCCAGGGAACAGCTTGTTTTCACCATCTCTAGGACAGACCAGTTTGTTCTCCTGGCAGTCCATGGTATGTTCAACCTTCTTCTCCAGCACCACAACTCAATGGAATTGATCTATCATCCTTTGTCATTGTCCAGCTCTCTGATGCATAGCAAGTAATTGTGGAGACTGTGACCACTATCAGGTGCACCTTAATCTCCAGACTGATCTCATTGCTCTTCAGGATTCTGGAGAGGTCCCTGACATCAGACTTTGCCAACACAATTTGTCTCTTGATTTCCTGACTGCTGGTGCCAAGAGTGTTGATTGTGGAGCTAAGCAAATTGTTCACTATACAGAGCCATTATTGTCTGCAGAAATGTTAATTCCTGAGGCAGTTTCTGTTTTGAAGGTTGTGTAAGAGTCAGACTCTTGGGGGCTCTACCATCTTTTCTTCATTTTTGTATGACTATACAATTGCTTTCCCTTTCCTTACACAACCTGGAATTTCACAGTAAATAATATTTTGCATCAGAATTTATTGGATGACTTTTTAAATTATAAGAGTTCACTGATCAATATAAGTAGAAATAAATTCATAACAGTGTATGTGCAATCCTAAAAATAGTGTATGAAACTGTCAGCATCATCCACAAGATACTCAGCCACCACGTATCAACTTTCCTAGTAGAGAAGTATTTAAGAATAGAAATATGTCTTTGGTTAGGCAACTACCAGATTCCTGTAATGTGTCAACACATCACATGATATCAAGTTATTTTTATCAGATTTTCTTCTGTTTATAATTTCTAGAAACTGAAAGATTGGAAAACCAGCTGGCAGAGAGGAAACCATGGTCACTAGCAGACAGATCTAGGCGTCTGTAGTAGC